GGGCCCGAGCAAAAAGGGGCCACAAAAAAAACACCCTGACCTTTGAACGGTACTATACATGGAGCCTCTGGGATAGATATATAGATGCTTCGGATCCTGCGTTCACACATAGACTGGACTAGCATCTTCATTATTCTTTACCGTCGCCTCACAACCGCGAGCCTTTCCGTGTCCTTTATTTTAAGACAAGCTCCTGCAGACACGAATGTATCAGATGCCGGCAAGCAGTTTTATGGTTATATTAAGGATTTTAAGGGTTGTAGGGTATGTAGTTTAGGTTAGGGTTTTGGGGTACCCACACCCACTTGTTACTCTAGGATTTCGGACAAAAGCATATGTATCAGTATATATATATATATATATTGAACTTTCTATATATTGAACAAATCCAATTCTTTTAGTTGACCCACCCGCCACGAACTCTGAAACGCTGACAAGCACTATAAAGCCCTACACCCTTAGAGCCCTAGACAAGAAACCTACGGTCTTTCAACCCTATATATAAAACTTGAAACCCTAAGCATCACTAGCCTACAACCAAAATCCGTAAGTGCTTTCTGAGGCTGAACTCAAACATTGATTCGGTGGAAGAGTGGCTCCAGTATGTCATGTCCAGCTTCGTGCTCTACCACGATGATCCGACACTTTTGCGCTTTTTAGGGTTTCGGGTTTAGGGTGTGGAAGGTTAGGATTCAGGCGTTTAGGCTTTTGGGGTTTGGGGGTAGGACGTTGGGACATGACATGTTTTTCTGAACATTCGATACATCAACAATGGAAACATAGAAAAACACACAGCACGAACCAACATAGGCCGCCACAGCGTCCCTTTCTGTCCCTTGTCATGTGTGTCCTTACCTTCCAATGTATACCGTTTATCCTTCAGGCAACATTACCGTGGTTTAGGGTCTATAAATTAGTGTTAGTGTAAAAAGCCGTAGTTACCGTAGTTCCTGAAACACATCTAAACTCGAAGCCATCGGCTCAGGAAAAAGAGCTGCAACATCAAGAAGGGTCCCTGGGGTATTGCTGGCACAAAGCCCGACTATGGCCACTGCAATTTTCCGCTTGCCTCCTCGGCGGCAAGTTTGGGGTTTCGGCTGTTTAGAGTTTAATGTTATTAATGTAGGGGCCTTAATAATTACCAATATTATTTTCGGGGTTCCTGTTTATAATTATACTATAAAGGGCCCCCGAAACTCCAGTCTTTTAATTAATGCCTCCATATTAGGGGTCTAGGGTTTAGGGTGTCGTTGTTGTGTGCAGAGCTGGGGGCATCAGGTTCATGTCGTTACACTGGTGCAGCACTCAACTCTAGTAGTTCATATCTGTGCCCAGAGAGCCCAATACCCCTTGATTAAGGAATATACCTTAAATCATATAATATTAAGGCCCTTATAATTTCAGAACACCACGCCCTGGTGGCG